ACAGTCGCCCACCTTCTGAGCTCCTCGGCATCTGAGCATGAATACAAACTCGTCAGATAGACAGCCTTCCTCATGGCAAAACCATAGGCAAACCTTCCTGAACACTAAGTCTGCACTGGACCTATGATCTGCGATGTGCTCTGTTTACAGCGGCTTGATGAGGACCTTAATAAACCTCCAGGTCTTTTGGCATTTGCTCTTGTTTGTAAACTCACCAGTGTCCACGAAAAACACACCATTGAACAATGCCGATTTGTAAGGGAATGAAAATATAAATCAGTAATAAATTGTATGTATTTTCAATAACAAAAGATTGAATGAATTTCTTTTTAGCTGTGTGTTCAGGAAGACTAAAATGCATGCAACATGAAAATTTTAATTTCCCTTGCTTCTCATATTATTTCTATGTCTACTGGTGCCTCTCTTCCCTTCCATCCCCTCCCCTCCCTCTTTTGTATCCATATTGGGGATGGCCTTGTACAAGAGTGACAAGTTCTTCACCAGTGGGCTATGACCATAACCTTCTTTCTTTTTTCAACAAGAAAAATTTCTATTTATATACTCCTAATGAATTTATAGGAGTGACTTTTGTCATAGTTTGAAGTACACAGTATGATTTCAATTTAAAATGAAGTATACATTTGGAGGAACAAGCAACTTTCAAATCTTTGTGTTGCTCCGAGTGATAGAAAGAGGAAACATAGTTTGCTCTATGAACAGGAATATGTGATATTGATAATCCAGTCCTTCTCATAGTGAAATCATTGACATGATTCTGTTCTTGGTGCTCTAATGCTGATGTTTTCAGCCCCAAGGGATTCATTGCACTCAACAGACAACAGACACATGATCCATGTCTGGCCTTTCTCTTTATTTCTGATAAGATTATGGAAAAAGAGTTGTGCTCAGAATTTACAAAGCAAACAAACTGAGATGTGCTCCATTCCAAGGATAAATGGTACAGCCAGCAATACCTACAAATTTAGAAGAGAGAGGAAACAGAAAAGAAAATATTGTATGACATACAATTTAAATTTTGATGTATTTATTTGCTAAGTGTTGCTGTTTAAAAAGACAACAAAAATGATGCTTCTTAAATTCGCCTACCAGAAAACCCTGGAGGTCGTATTTCCTTCAAATAGCATTTCTTTCAAGAAACTACCCTCAGGCTGAGAGAAGACCAAGATTGAATCAAATTCTGCTTGTGCTGCCCACTCTGCTCTTCTGATCATCAAGTTGGTAGGTTCTAGATTATTCCATTTAATTCTGAAATCCACTTTTAAAGAGCAGCCATGGAAAGTGGGGTTTAGATTCTGATTCCTTATAAATAAGGATACTGGTTATACATGGAACCTTTCTAATGGACTTAAATATACCTTTATTTTATATATAGGCCAATATATTTGTTTTGCACTTAAGCTGAATTTCTGTATCACTGATCATGAGAAAACTTAAGTAATCTGAGACATGGAAGATGGTGTTTCCAGAAATCTGTTGCTATTGGTCACATGGGTACTAATAAGCAGGTCTGACACTGCAGATTAAAGATATCACTACTGTGAAGGAAGCCATTAATAACACAATATTTGTGGTACAGAAGCAACAACATGGACAAATTGCTTTTGATGTATGTGTCTTAATGACAGGGTGAATGGGAAATGATCAGGTCAGCCGTTGCTTGGCCTCATCCTTGAGTCACAAATCTTTCAAGAGGACCAAGGAAATAGTTTCCCATCTAGGAGTGCCAGCCTCCCTGCCTGGGGACAGCTTATATCTGTATACAACTTGAAATCAGAAAATGTTCAGAAATCTGAAAATTTCTGGGTATCTCTTGATGCTAACATTTCATGGGGGGGGGATTTTAGATCATTACAGATTTAGGATTTTAAAAATCACTTCAGAGTTTGGATTTTCAAGCAGAATTATATGAAAATATTAAAGAATCTACAACATTCTAAGTCTGATATACTTCTGGTCCCAAGAAGTTCAGATAAAGGATGCTTGATCTGTATGTTTTATCTCCTCCATTCTAAAATAGCTACAGTTTAAACTTATGAAAACCTTTTAGGCTAAAGGGGTCTAAAGTACACTACTTTAGTTTAAACTTATGAAAACCAGCTGCAAGGCAACTATACAGCTCTATGATGTTTCATACTGCAAGAGTTGGATGTTGAATGTCCTTGAAAGTCTGTGAATCATAATCTTGTCCCTAAGATGAGGTTACTGGGAGATGGTACAAACTTTTGGAGGGCCTAGTGGCAGGTCTTAAGGTCACTGGGTGCAGATCCTCAGGGAGCTGTGGGAGTCCAGCCTCTCTTGCTTGTTTTGTGTTTCATGGTCGAGGATGGAGGTGATTTTTCTCTGTCTTGCCCTTCCAGTCATTGCAGTCCAGGTCACCAGCTTATCCTACCAGAAGCCCAAAGTAACATATCCACTTGATGGCAGACTGAAACTCCCAAGCTGTGAGCTAAATTCATGTTTCCCTTATAAGTTAATTATACCAGGCATTTTGTTATAGTAATACAAAGCTAATAATACACACGAACTAATGTTTTCATCCTTACAAACTGTATTTCATAAAAAAGTATTGAATTTTTAGGCTGGTCTCTGTAGAACCTTTATGGCTTTCAGCGAAAACATACCAGAATCTTCCCTAGTTGTGGCATCCTGTACCCTTGCATCATTCCTCTTTAACCAGATTGTGAGCCCTGCTTTATTCTATTCTGGATTCACCAAGTTACTGCACTGAAAGCACTACGAAATGACCTGGCTGTAGAATACCCATTCTGTCAAGACACAGCAACCGAAATTCCAAGAGACAAAGCATTATCTCACCCTGGGGTCCCTGTGGAAGGTTAGCCTCAGTTCCCCCATTCGAGTATTAAAATAATGTTTGGACAATATGATAAAATTAAAAACTTCTAGTTTTAGGAAAGGGATTGCTCCGCTGAAATCCAGCAATCTCTCACTCCGTGTTGGAGTGACAATTAGATGTACTTGCAGGAGAGTTTCGGTTGAATAAAAGAGGAGATGTTATCAGTGCAAAGTTTCCTTCTTTACACCTTGTGTGGTGTAATTAATTTCTGTTATTAATTGTTCTGTTTCAAAAATGTGACTCTTTCCTTGTTAACCACTTTTCCAGACAGCGGTGAGAGCTATAGCAAAAGGCAGATAATGAATTCCATTAATAATCAGAGCAGACTTTGTAGGGATTATTTGTATTCAAAAACAGATTTGCATTATTAGTGTTTTGGCAGTCCACTATATGTACAGAAACACAACATACAAATCTGCCAATAAAATCTGCTCTGTAGTGTGTTCTGGACAAAGTTTAATAAAAGTTAATTCATGTTTTTATCTTGAATGGTGATTGTTTTCAAAAACAGATGGAGTGACATTAAATGACACATGTCTCCTGGAGTCAGAAACATCTAATAATTTGTATTTTAATAATGAGTTCCCAACATTTCATAACTGCCAGTTTGCCTGCTGGGTAGTTATAAAGGTTCTTTTAAAAAATGGGTCATATTAGTATGCCACCACCACTGTTTACATCTATACAGTGAAATAAGTTTAATCCATAAGCAAAACTGACTTATCCTATTTTTTAGTAGAAACTTTTCTAATTAAAAAATGCAGATAAGGATCAACAATTAAATAACCAC